CTTTCGGCCCTTTGTATTAAACTATGCATACATACATGATGCTGTTTTGTTTATAGTTGTTTAAGCAACTTAATTATAATTGGTTCATAAACATTATTTTAAACATTATGCACTTTTTTTCCACAGATAGTCGTGTTACCTGATGCTTTGAATAAACGTGCATTATTAATATTTTTGCTCGATGCCCCCTCTTGTGGCCTCAGGAGAGAAACCAAAAGCTTTTCTTCACCCTAACTGAAATTATGCATTTTAAATTTGAATATAATTCGAATTTTGATCATATTTAAGTAAAAAAATTAGAATTTAGTTTTTCAGCCATTTTGACAGCCCTAATACACTACACGATTTTCTATGACATCTGCAGCTCAAATCTGCAGACTGGCTCTGACTTTTGACAACTAGCGTCAACTCCAGACTAAACCAGTGCAGAAAATCTGGGCAAATGTCATGTAGTGTATTCTAGCCTTGAGCTGCAAAAACGTTCCAAGCATATTATTCCCTCCAGTAACTTGTGTTCACAAGCATTAATACAAATTCAACCACTTTCCACATTATCCGAGACCGTTTGCAGGTTCTTTATTATTTCCACAATTAAAATATACATTTAATTAGAGGGTTGGGGTCAGCTAAGTTTTAGTGTGCATGTGCATGATTTTAGTAATTATGCACAAAATGTTTTAACAGGTAATTATACTCACTAATTCTAATTACATAAATACATCATGATTATTGGTGGGCTTCCACTCAAAAGATGCAACTGATATTACCACAGTTTTTGAGAGAAACCACAGCAAATTCAGTCATTTTGGGCTGCAAAAGCCAGGAAAAAGTCCTGCTAAATCCCAAACCACAATTACTCATTTCACATACAACGAACATGGATGTACAAAATGGCTCAGATAAATGGTCATGAGAAACTATATTAAGCAAGCCTTGACTGACATTATCATTTGACCAGATGTGACTCCTTTGAATCAAAGCTGTTTGAACAATGTGAGGCTGTAAATATTCATCCATATTCATCATAGACAACCTCTGATGCTGTGACTTTGGTGTTCGGTTGCTCTTTCAAAATACTGTCAAAATACTTTCATCAAGCTCTTAAGTGTAAAGTGACATTATTCAAGCAGGATGATGAAATGCTTTCTGTATTCTCAGGTCACAGATGAGATGATGGACCAGGCCAATGAGAAGAAGATTGAGGCTATTGGCGCGTTAGGAGACGGTGAGCTGCCTCTTATTTGAAATTATGAAATCTGTAATAATGTAATCATAGTTTATGTTTCCTTAGTTTTGGTAATAATTCATGATAAAACAACGGGGTTCAACGAAACATGCCAACTTTTCAGGTGACCTACAGAAAGCTCTAGACCTCTTCACAGAGGCCATCAAACTCAACCCGACATTGGCCATTCTGTATGCCAAAAGAGCCAGGTATCATCCAATCCCTGCATTGGTTTTTAGCGACCTGGTTCGATTGGCTGTTGAGTAACTCTATCTGTTTGTGTCTTTCAGCGTATATGTAAAAATGCAGAAGCCCAACGCTGCCATCAGAGACTGTGACCGAGCCATCAGCATCAACCCAGACTCAGCCCAGCCTTATAAGTGGAGGGGGAAGGCACACAAGTAACAGACTACAGCTAGATTTTGATGGAAGAGGTTTGATTTCTGCCTTGACGCATCGGTGCTTTGCTGCTGATAAAGATCTCTCGTTCTGACAGGTTGCTCGGTCTCTGGGAGGAGGCCGCTGGAGACTTGGCGATGGCCTGTAAGCTGGACTATGATGAAGAGGCCAGTGCCATGCTAAAAGAAGTCCAACCAAAGGTATCTGTGCAGAACTCTGAACTGGTGAAATTATTTTTTTTGGAGAACAGTTGTGTTAATTTGCCATTCAGGGAGAACTCTCTTGAATGATGTTATATGACTGAATAATATAGTAATAGTAATAGTTTATAGTAAAGCTTATATATTTAAAGACTTGCACTTTAAAAACATCCAAAAGTGTTTTTTATAAATATTAATAAACTTGCTGTTCAATGTAAAATTATTTGCCATTTTTAAAAGACTTCCTGAACTCGATTTTAATACAGTCATGATGTACTGACTACATGGTTTTTATTATGTAATTTATTTAATAATAATAATTTATATCAATAATATATCTATTTTTTGTTATAATTTTTGTTGTCACATGACAACAAAATGGCCTCTCATGTTGGATATATGTTTTACCATAATTTAATAATATTGAATTCCACTTTTAATGTTTTTTTATACATAAAATAATACATTTGGGGTCTCATTTATAAATGTTGCGTATGCACAAAATGGGCATAGAAATATGCATACAAAACTTGCCACGCACATATCGGTAATTATAAAAAAATTAATTTGATGTAAATTTGTACGCACCGTACGAACATTCTAGACCATGCGTACAAACTCTTTTTCCTGGAGTGAGAAAAGTAATGAAGTAAACAACGATTTTAAACATAAAGTTTTTATGTCGATATACACATTTACATGAAATATTCCACTCTCATTAATTGAGTGAAATTAGGCTACATAAAGTCATTACGCAGAAGTTAAACCAAAACCAAAATACTGTATATATATATATATATATATAGTGCCTTGCAAAAGTATCGGTTTTTTTCAGGTTTTGTTATGTTGCTGCCCTATGTTAAACTGCTTTAAATTACTTTTTTTACACATCAATCTACACTCCATACACCATACTGACAAAGCAAAAAACAGAATTGTCACAACTTCGTAAATGTATTAAAATTAAAGAAAAACTGAAATAAGTACATTGCATAAGTATTCATACCCTTAACTAAATATTTAGCTGAAGCACCTTTACTTTTCTTTTTTGTTTAATGCGACAAGTTTTGCACATCTGCATTGTTCATTGTCCATTCTTCTCCTCACCTCTTCACCTCTCAAGCTCTGTCAGGTTGGATGGGAGCAAATGCACATTTTCAAGTTTCTCCAGAATTATTTGATTGGGTTCAAGCTCAGGCTCTGGCTGGGCCAGCTTAAAGCCCAGATCGGTGGAGTGTTGTCGCTGAGTCAACAGCGATGTTTGTCCTTCTGTAGTTTTCTCCTATCTCCATTCTCCACATATGATCATGGAGCTCAACTAGAGTGACCATCAGCTTCTTGGTCACCAGGAGACCAGCTCTAGAAAGAGTCCTGGTTGTTTCAAGCTTTTTCCATTAAGGGTAACAGAGACTACATGCTTCTGTGAACCTTGTGTGAATACTTATGCAATGGAATCATTAAGTTTTTTTATTTTTAATAAGTTTACAAATATGTTAAGATGTTTTTTGCTTTACCATTATGGTGTATGGAGTGTAGATTGATGTGGAATAAAAGTAATTTAAAGAAGTTTATCATAAGTTTTTTGACACAAAAATAAAATCTTACTGACCTCAAAATTTTAAACGGTAGTGTATATTTAAAATGTAAGACTAAAGGTAGCATTTGAATGCTAGTGAATGATTGAATATCAAATATTATGTATATTGTGATGTGAAATCATGTTTATATAAGCTTGAGTACATTTGTCAAAAACATCAAAAGCAAAGCGAGTGTGCCGAAACTTCAATGTGTCATGTGATCCCACCTGTCCTTCGCAGGCCAACAAAATTATTGAGCACCGGCGCAAATATGAACGCAAGCGTGAAGAACGAGAGCTCAGAGCACGGCAAGAACGAGTGAAGAAAGCAAGGGAGGAGCACGAGAGAGCACAGAGGGTAAGAAATCTATTGATTTGCATCAAGCCACTGAATCAGAATTGTCTGCACAGTCAGTCCTGTTAATGTGCGTCTGTGTGTACAGGAAGAGGAAGCCAGACAACAGGCTGGAGGGGCACGTGGAGGATTCCCAGGATCCCCAGGTATCTACTATTAAGCTGTTTATGTATATAATAAGCCATATTGACTTGTAAAACAAAATAGTAATGGTTCACCCAAAAATAAAAATTACCCCATGATTTACTCACCCTCAAGCCATGCTAGGTGTATATGACTTTCTTCTTTCAGACAAATACGATCAGAGTTATACTAAAAAAATGTCCTGGATCTTCCAAGCTTTATAATGGCAGTGAATGGGGCTCAAGATTTTGAAGTCCAATAAAATGCATAAATCCATCATAAAAAGTGCTCCACATTAGGGCTGAACGATTAATTGCATTTGCGATAATATCGCGATATGAAAAAACTAGATTTTTCAACCGCAGAGGCTGCAATTACACTGTCACGTGACGCGCAAGAGTAAAGAGGTGTGTTCGACGTGAAGATCGATCGGTACGGCGAGAGAGAAAGCATAAGGAGACGTCCGCGCTCTTATAGCTCTCGCAGTACTTTGATGTCACACACTGATCGGTCTAAGCAGCACTGCTTCAAGTCGAACACACCTAATCAGTCTTCAGAGGAAGCATCAAGTTGGCACGCTACAGTGTTGCCATGTCTGTGGTTTGCCGCGGGTTGAAGCGACTCCAAAAACATGATATTTAGCCCCTGGAGTGCGAATCTTACCAGGAGAACCCCTCCAAAAAACGTGTATTTTACCTCCAGAACACAATTTTTACCGGTGGATCCCCCTCGAAATTACTATTGGGCTCGTTTTGGGCTAGTTTTGAGTAGCAATTGGGCGGGTTTTGTTGTGAAAACCTGGCAACCCTGGCACGCTACACGCGGAAATGTTTGAAAGCATAACTCCATATGAAGCGTAACTCCATCAAAACGGCACATGGAAATTACTCAAGCAGTAACGGAGTTACGGTGCATTTCATTACTGAAGACTGACTTCAAGATAATATATATAATTAGTATAATATATATAATGTTTAAAAAGTGCAATACACATGTTTACATATGTTTATTACAGTCACTTTGAATGACCTTAAGGGGTCATATGATGCTGCTAAAAAGAACATTATTTTGTGTATTTGGTGTAATGAAATGTGTTTATGCGGTGTAGTAAAGCAACGTGTTTTTATATTTCTTTAATCTACTTTAGTTTGTGTGATTTGTTAGACTTTCATATTAATGTTTGCATCAGGCTTATTTGTCAGTACTTTATGTTGTCATAATAATTATTAGCCTACATGGTTACAAGGTTGGAAGTTCAACAAATCAGTCAATATACTACTGTGATTGTAGTAGTTAAATAAAAATGTCATTCATATCAATTCATGCATCACCTAATTTCATCGTAACATATAGGCCTACAAGAAAGAATATTTATGTTTAATCTATCTAATATTGTGTTGGTCATACTATACAATGATTTATTGCTTGTCTTTGTTGAAAAATACAGAACATAAAGAGCTTTAAAAAATAATTGCATATTAAAATTGCTATCGCAATATTGGTTAAAAAAAAACATTGCAATTACATTATTTTCCAAAATCGTTAAGCCCTACTCCACACGGCTCCGGAGGGTTAATAAAGGCCTCCTGAAGTGAAACAATGCATTTGTATAAGTAAAATATCCATATTTAAAACTTGATAAACCGTGATCTCTAGCTTCCGCTAACTGTCTTACACATGTTCAGGAGAGTGGCGTTCCAGCGGATGACGTAGGCGTAGCGTAAGCTTCGGTGAGAAGAGACGAGCACAGAGGAGAGAGTAAAACACTGGTCACAAATTAGAATTAAAGAACAATGTCAGAGGATTTCGATATAAGCCAAGGATAGACCGGTTTTACGCCTACGTGCTACGTCATCCGCTCCGATTGTTTTCGTCTGAAAGAAGAAAGTCATATACTCATAGGATGGCTTGAGGGTGAGTAAATCATGGGGTAATTTTCATTTTTGGGTGAACTATAAGAGGGATTACTGCAAGATCAACAATTTTTGTTGTTTGAAATGGTGTAATTGATGTTAATATTTGTTGTGATCCTTCAGGAGGTGCTGGTTTCCCAGGTGGAGCTCCTCCGTTTGGAATGCCTGGACTTAATGAGCTATTCAATGACCCAGAGGTTCTCATGGCCATGCAGGTAAAGTTAACCACATACTGCTGAGCACAATGACGGTGCATTTATACAGAGTTAACAACTGGCCTGTAATTATCAGGGAATTTATTAATTTTCCAGAACCAAAGAAGTTATCTCAATTAATACAGTTTTTGAACATCATGGAAAGGTCGATAGTGATTATACATTTTTCTTGTTAAGCTCAGCTGTGAAATATGTGATTGTCTAGGTATTGATCTTATGTAGATCAATTCTGATGTAGATCAATTCTGATCTTGAGCAATGATGAAAACCGTTTTTGATTAATACATGCAAAAGAACAAATAGAATTTTCAAAAATAGAATATTTCAAGTAGAATTTTTTTTTAACAATGTAAATGTCTTTACTGTCACTTCTGATCAATTAAATACATCCTTGCTGGAAAAAAGTATTAATCTCTTTTTTTTTTTTTTTTTTACTTTTAAAAACACCAGTTTTAAATTGATGTGTAAAGTGATTATTGTTACACAGATGCTTCACAATACATTGGAATCATAAATGAACAATGGAAATTGATAATCGCTATTACTTTTCCTACTTTGGGTTACTTGGGTCAGTTAATAACTATATAGTATTGAACCATGTTCATAAATGTCTATAATTGCTTTCCTGTATCTGACATTCCTGAGCATCTCAGCTGCTTGTAATATTTACATGATTGGTAAATCGTTTATGCATTCTCATTTTCCAGGACCCAGAGGTGATGGCAGCATTCCAGGATGTGGCGCAGAACCCCGCCAACATCTCCAAGTACCAGGGCAACCCCAAAATCATGGCCCTGATCAACAAACTCAGCTCCAAGTTTGGCGGCCAGCAGCCCTAAAAAGGGCTGAAAGAGTTCATGTCCAGTTCCAATACTCTGCTGTAGCTTTTTCTCACTGGGTTTCTTGCCATCAATTACAGACAGCACTTAGCTTATGAGCCACGTGAGATACTGATTTTAGACGAGTCTGTGCTGATGAAAGAAGAAGAAACTATGAAAAAGTATCGGAACAAGACCAGAGATGTGAGATGTGCCGCTAAGAATTGGGTTTATTCCTTTAAAGTTTTGTTGGGGACAAACTATATTGTGGGCTTCACTGAGGCTGACACATTTAGCACTTACGATCCTGGTCTTTTCTCCAGAATATCAGGGGGTTTGGATTTGAGAGCCTATTCTAGCTGACAGTTGCTGCATTGACAAATGTGTCCATTCAGCAGCCAATCATTCCAGGGATTTAGTCTAATTATAATCACCTTCATCCATTCAGTATGCTACATAGCTTGTTTGTGGTCTTATCCAGCAGGATCCAGATCATAACGGGGTCTACATATTCCATGTCCAAAGCAATCAGTCAATCACTTCCTGTTTAGATTTCATGGGTTTCTTTTAAAGGTTTTTGATTCATGTTTTTGTTCTTTAGTTCTTTTTTTATTTTGCTCTCCTCACCCTCAGTGTAACCCAACATTGTTTTCCGTCTCATAAATGCAAAAAAAAGTGAAAATTCAATCATGAACAACTTTCTTATTGTGACAAATCTGCATCTTGTATGGATTTCATGATTTAATTCAATAAACATTTGGTTGTTGCAAATGTAAGACATCTGTTTTTTTTATAGACTTGAAATTTTATTTGACTTAAAGAGATAGTTCACCCAAAAATGAATTGTCGTCATTTACTCAGCCTCAGTTTGTTCCAAACCTGTATGAGTTTCTTTCTTTCTGCTGAACACAAAAGATGATATTTAAAGATTGTGAGTAACTAAACATTTGACAGTAGCCATTGACTTCTATAGTATGGAAAAAAAAAATCCTATGGAAGTCAATGGCTACCATCAACTACCTGGTTACCCACATTCTTCAAAATACCTTCTTTTGTGTTTTATAGACTAGTAAGAGTCCAGTACTGTTTATATGTAATATATACAGTTCAGGTGCAGTAGAATACAGGTAACTCTTAAATTGTAAACTGACCGAGAACCAAGGGCCTGTATCATGATGGTAGTTGAACAAATTCAGAGTTATAGGATTAGTTGTGTGTTGACAAAACCAAACCACTCCAGTCCGGCTTTGTTGGTACCATCCTCAACTTTCTTTGCCAACTCAGGCTTTGATCCTGAGTTTGTGGAGCGCGTGCTCATGAATGTGTGACATCACATGCCTCGCACGACAGAGCAAGTATGATTCACTTCTCGCGAGAGAGTCAGCGAGATCCAAAACTAAAGGTTAAAGGTTATGAGATTGAAGAATATGAGGAATTAAAATGCATTTACACTGAAGAAAGTACTTGTTCACGAAAGAGAAAAAATAAAAGAAATGATCTTGCTCTATCAGTGCAGTCACAAGTGAAACGCAAGTTAGTTTATATAGTTGAAAATATACAGCGATAGAGACTTTTTTTAAAGCCTTTATTGATTCTACAGCTTATTTATATTACATATGATCTGCATATATTAATATTCATTTAAAATAAATGATTTATAATAACTGTTAAACTAAAATTGCTTGTGTGTAATGGATGGATTAATAATAACAAATCACATAATTATATTAAACATAAAATAACTAAGTCATAAATTATACGTAAATAACTCACTAAAACTAAACTGAAATTTACCTGGTCAGCCAGCTAATCCGGCTTCATGGTACAGGCCCCAGGTTCCTTCAACTCAATCAAATGTTTAGATCCGAACTCCTAACCTGAAATTTCTCTCCACATTACTTCTTATTTTAACACAAGAGATGAAGTGACTGGGCTTGTTAGGTTTCTTGCATAAAGCCTTAAAGGGGTCATAGGATGCTACATGCACTTTTACAAGTTGTTTGAACTGAAATGTGTGTTGGCAGTGTGTATACACAACCACCCTATAATGATAAAAATCCACCCAGTGTTTTTTTTTTTAATCTGGGTAAAGGGGTCATCGGATGCAAAATTCACTTTTGTTGTTGTTTGAACATAAATGTGTGTTGGAAGTGTGTGTACACATCCACCCTATAATAATAAAAAAATCACCCAGTGTTTTTTTTTTAAATCCCTATTTCAAAATCCCCTTTCTCAAATCAGGCTGTTCTGAGATTCCTGTCAGAATGACGTAGTTCTGCACAGGCCCCTCCCACG